TATATATATATATATATATATATATATATATATATATATATATATATATATATATATATATATATATATGGCAAATTCAAATTACGGCTGTGCGCATCGCCTTGTTTTCACTGCTTCCACTAATGACCAACAGCAATCGCTAAGGCATGGTTAGTAGACTATGGCTAAGGCGAATCTGGCTTTCTTGTGATTTAATTATATATAGGTCCGTTGGAATAAAATCACTCTTGACATTTTACTGTCAAGAACATATTAGAAAAAAGCTGAAAGTTGACAACGTAACGTGTTGTTAAGGCATCGTCCACACTACACTCCGGAGAAATTTGAAAACGCAGCTCTACCTCTATGGTTAGGCCTGCCGTCCATACTAATCCGTCACGAAAACGGAGCTTTTCGAAAACGAAGGCGTCACGACAATCATGTGATTGCCCTCAAACACAAATCCACAATGACTGGTGATTGTTATGTAGTTAAGTTCCTCCGGCGTAATGTGAATGGGGCCCGTAAAAAATAAACCCAATTTGAATTCACTAATAGGATCGTGACAATGGGATCTCTCACACCGACAGCTGTCACGTTTTTTTTTTTTTTACAAGTGTTAAATTAGCACGAATGTGGGGCAATAGTTTACTAATACCGGTAATAGTAGATGACTGGTTAGCAGTTATTTTGAATAATCACAAGAAACACAACAAAGAGAAAACGACCAAAAGCTATTTTGTATTCAAAATGGAAAGGTTGTTTTGTCTAGGAGCCACGAAGTATGACAAGGCAGGAAACCACGCTTTATCTACTGACCAATAATTGTTCAGTCACGGTATTTTGAGTTATTTTGGCCACATACAAAACTACCTTTAAATGGTAGGAAACCTGAAAATAACAGTTTTATAAGATAGAAAAACACCAAAGAGATAATGATAAACCATAAAGGGACAAGTATGTCTAAGGATGGAGAAGATTAACACGGATTGTAAACGACGAATTTGAAAAATTGAGGTTTGAGGCTAAACTTGTCAATATGGGCAAACCGTGACTGAGCTCCTTTAAAGTTCCTTCAGGTCAGAAGAATATTAGAAACGATTTTATTCCGCTGAGGGCGTCGCCGCGTACCAGATCAAACTAGAGGTCGAAGCCACAAAGACGACCTACGTGAGCCTAAGAACACCGACGATGAAATATTAGGGGTGGATTCGGTCGCGAGCCACCCTCCTTTTTGAGAAGCAAAACGTAAAAGAATTGAAAAAGGTTGTGTGTTATTTCTTGTTAAGCTAAGATGGCCAAAGAAAAAGAGTATTATAGTAAAATAATAAATCTTATTTATATTAAAATGGTCATGCACTTAGCTATACAAGCACTAAGCTTAGCAGTTTACAGGCATGCCACTGAAACAAAGGAAACAAATATTTCAAATAAAGGCGTAACATCGTTAAAAATCCCAACTGGCAGGAGGCAGACCAGTTGGCTATTTACAAAGCGGGACCTAGAATTTGAACTCGGGACTATCGAGAAACAAATCCCGCTAGTGGCAGGGTAGAGGCCTTGAACCCGGGACGTCCGGATTACAACAGCGTCCTAAACCACTCGGCCACGCTGCCTCCTAAATATAAAGGCAGTGGTAAGGTTGTGAATATTATGCGCGATAAGGTTGTGAATATTATGGAAGAAATAACGGTACCTCAATGTAATTCCTACTTTGTGGCATTGCTAGTATTCAAGTCGGTAACAGTTTTCAATTAGGTTCCAGTTCTTAAATTGCAACATTTTGGAAACATACCCTAAAGGTATGGAACCGAAAATAAGGAAACTATCAATTCTGTGCATGCCTACGTGCTTATGTTTGTGTAGTCAGCGTTGTCTTTGCCGTTATGCTTATGCTTGTGCTTATGTCGCAGGCGTAAAATCTTGCTGCATTAAAAGGGGCTTCACATTTACTGGTTTTAAGCTCATAAACGTACAACTAAGAAAATAATTATTCGAGGCACACAGGTCATCGTATGTCTTATATGGAACCTCCTTATCATGACAAATACCCGAAGTACGCACACAAAAAAAGCTGAGGCGTATTTAACATGTGTCCAAGAGTTGCTCCGTACGTCGGATTTTAATAACTGTTGTACTCTAAAACACTAAGCAGCTTCTTTCACGGTATTCGGTACGGTGTATGACATTTGCAGACTGCAGATTAAACTGCAGACTGAAGACTACAGTTAGGCGTAAATAGCGCTGCGGTTAGCATGAATATAACACAGGTTAACCCGCTCAGCTTAGTCTGTTTACGGTTTGCTATCGATAATGAAATGGGAATGCAATATTAGTGAAATTTACTGCAGGCTGTAGTCTGCAAATGTCATACACCGCATGGTATTTGACAAAACATTATATGATTATATAAAAGCATATTGTTCCACACTCAACTTGGTCCATGAGAGTGAGGACATCGACGAAAATTGCAAGGAATGAATAAAAATTAAGAGGAGAGCTTATATCCGTGGGGTGGGCTTTATTACCGTTCAAAAGGCTGAAAACCGCATCCCGCAGGTTCGGAGAATACCGCGATACCGTATTTCGAGATTAAAATTACCGAAATACCGTAAGAAAAACTGTCCAATACCGCAACCCCAATATCCCCCTTCTTAGGCAGACAAGAGACACGTATTAAGATCGGAGGACGATTTTGGCTCGCATTCTAACGGAATTCTTGGCGCTCGCATTTCAATGCGAATGGAAAAAAGTATCCTATCTTCGTTAAATATAGCTTGATTCTAGACCCTCAAGGGATGTTAACTCAAAGAAACACTACTTTGCAGCTGCTTTGTGTGAACAATGATGCACATGGAAAGCAGCAGTCTTCGAAGTGAATGGATGTTGATTTGCAGATCATAAAGCATGGAATCGTACCTTGAACGTCTTAGACAAAACATTCTCTTAATTTTCGTTCCTCTCGGATCCCTCAAGATAAACATTGACCTGGTCAAGAGATTTATAGAAAATATATGAAGTGCCGTCGGCATGCAAGGACCAAATTACCAAGATTCTTTCGACGAATCGAACGAAGCTTGACAACTGTGCTGGTTTTTGTTTTCTACTAACACGTACCGTCAACCATCTCGTTTTATGTACAAAAATTTTTCTAAAAAACGACACGTTCACCTTTCGTTGGACATTGATGCGATGGAAACAAAGAGCGAAAATAGACGATAACGTCAAGAGAGCAATTTTTGAGATTTTATCTTACATGACTGTTATTCCGAAGAAGTATTTTTGAGTGCCCCCTTGCGTGTAAGCTGTTTATAACGTGTCACTTAACAAAATGAGTAGAGATACCTCAACAACATCTGATAATTCATCACAGAAAATTGAGAACGTAATGAATGATTTCGTTCCAATGAGCCCAACTGGACGTGCCAGACAGCACGCTCGATGGTGGATGTTGCTAGCGATTGCTGCTTGTATAGTGGCGGTAGTAACGACGTCTTTGTTAATATGGTACGCGGCGAACATGGCAGTAAACAAGAACTGTGCAAACAAGACTTGTCCCCTCAGATGCGACGACAAACCAACTGAAAAGACGCTGCCTTGCCCGAGAATGCCAACTGTACGTCCACTGTCGAGTCCCTTACCTGCTGAATTGGAAGACGTCTTCAATCATTTAAACTCCATCTTGACGGAAATGGTTGACAAGAACACGTCTTTGCCTGCAATTTCGGCCAACATCTTTTATCGAGATTCTGTCCTCTGGAGTGCTCATCGTGGCACTAAATTGCTCCCGATTCAAGATCGTACTGAACCAGATGGGAATACAGTGTACCGGATTGGAAGCATTACAAAGATTTTTACCGTGCTTTTGCTCTACAAACTTTACGAGGGCGGGATGGTAGGATCAATCGATGATCCCTTGAGTAAGTACATTGCTGAGTTTAGCATAAAAAACCCTTTTACCACTGACAATATAACACTGAGAGAGATTGCGAGTCAAATGTCCGGTTTGCCCAGAGAAGCTCCATGTATTTACCACTGCAAAGGAACCAATTCCATCGAACAGTTGGAACTTCTTAGAAACAGAAGCCTTATATTACCCTCATGGCAAATGCCGTCTTACAGCAACCTGGGATACGCATTGCTGGGACGATTACTCACAGAAAGAGTGCTTAACACAACGTTTGAGACCTGGATTCAAGAAGAGATTCTAGGTCCGCTTGAGATGAAGAACACTGGATTTGAAATCACTTCAGAGATTGAAAGGAACACGGCCTTTCCTTACGGAAACAATAAACAACGGATGCCATTTTCGAACATAGGCTGGGCGAATCCAGCTGGAGGGATGCATTCCTCTATTAACGACTTGACCAAACTAGGAATGATGTTCACTCGGCCATCTAAACAAAGGGTCTTAAAAGTATCAACTGTGCGTGAAATGGCCTTACCCATCGACGTTGCACCGGATGGTCGCACTCTATGGGGATCACCATTCGAGATGGAGCGCTCTAATGGATTTCTTAGAAGACAAAAAGTAGGACACATCGACACTTACGACGCGTACTTTTCGTTCGTTCCTGAACTTGAGCTCGGAATAAACGTGCTCATCAGCGCGATGGGATTTGTGAAGTCCGATGTCAAGTATGCGACCACATTCGGTCAAAGAGCGTATGACAAACTGCTACCAGTGCTTAACAAGACACTGTTCAAAATGGACGAGTCTGCCGACTTCCCGATCAGCTCGAAAGCGTTTACCGGTTTATACCTCGTGAATCAGACGAACACAGTTACGTTGGCCAAGTCAAGCTATTATGCTACTATTAACAAGTCAAAAAGTGTCCTTCTCTTCAAAGGCCAGTCTAAACAAGCCTTCCCCTTTGCCATAAGGTACATTGGAGATTTATTGACTTTCCGAGCAGAGTATTTAGACACTGACATGTCCTGCTTTGCAGAAAGGTCCGGTGTATTTGCTGACCTGCATTTCAGTCAACCACACAAAGATGGTTTGTCTTACGGATTTACAGTTCCACAATGGTCTATTGCTGCAAGACGGATGAACAACAGTGTTACAGCTGGAGAGGCTGCCTCACAATAGCCAAGCGCAAGGTTGAAATTCATGCTGTGAAACATCTGCTCAACGAAACATTTCAAATTTATGTGTTCTCTGGTAGATTCAGCTGAGAAGTTGACTCACATTTGAAGCTAAATGAAAAAGACTTGGTAATGCTTGAAAATTTCGCCCCGCAAAAATGTAACTTATTAGGCTGAGTCATGAGGTTTGATTACTCTGCTCGCTAGGAAATGCAAGGCAAAATGCAAATTTTCGAGGAATTTGTAAGATATTTCAGACAGGAAAATTCCTCCAACATTAGCAGTGGTTGGGGCCATTTTTCTATTCACTTAAATGTTCAAGGAACTTTCGATCTCTCTTTACTATTTTACTAGATTTCTGGCTAATTGTAGCTAATGGTTAGTGAATAAATTTCACTCAGCAGATGGTATCTTGGCTGTTTATCAGTTGACGGCGCCCCTAATTTGACCCTCTCTGTTAATTACTTCGCGTATATTGTTTCTCAAGGAAATTCGTGTTGGAAACCGTAAAGCAGGTGAAGCCCTAGGCAATAGAGAAACGCAGAGAATTCAGTTTTATTTTTATTCAACAAACAAGAAACTTAAAAAACACAAGTTTTAATATTGTTATTGCATAGAGATATAAACTGGTCATGTGATGCTGATACAATAAAGAGTACATATATAATGTGATATATGTAGTTACCACATGGAAACTAAAGCTTTAGGCAATGAAATAAGATTTGAAACTCCAAGAAGCTGCAGTTATTATTAGATGCATTTTCCCATCTTTTTTATTTGCCGAGAGCCCACCACGTGACCTGCAAATAACTGCATAGAAATAATGGTCTGCTCATGCGTAGTACCGTTTATAAATGTGTTTTGAAGCAAGTAATATTCTGCTGATGTGTTATTGTAATCACGCTCTAGGGAGAAAAATAAGAGATCGGGGAGCTGAGCCGATAACTGTTCATTGACTTGAATATATAGGAACATTACGGACTCCAAGACAATATCTACCTAATCTTAATTTCCAGTTTGTTAAAAAACGGTCGAAGTTTAGAACTTTCTAGTAAATAAAATGATGCTGACAACACTTTCGCGAAATTTAATGTCCTTTTTTATTTTCCCCTATCGACATCGCAATCGCGAAAATAAAGCTTCGCGAAATACTGTCTCGACAAAATCGCGAAATTAAGCACGAGCAAAATTACGAATAAGGTGATTTCTCATAATTTAATTTTGCAACCGTCCTGTGACCTGTCTTGAATTATCAATAATTTAAAAGCTACTTTATCGTCAACATAAAAGGAAATGGAAAATTGTCATGAAGGAAAACCACAGAAATTTGCGCGCTTGAATTTCAAACTTCTTCGTGACTGAAGGAAATCGGTTAGTCAAATAAATCGGGCGGCCCTTAATACAGTTGCGATACTTAACTTGTGTGATACGGGTTGTTCGTTATTGGTGAAGCGTGATATCTGTTAAATGCTGTCGACAATATTATCCTCGTTCTCGGACGACAGGTGCCACAGTAATCTTTTACAGTTCAGTACAAACGTTATTTACATGTAGTATGGAGTTCGAAGAGTTCGCGATCCGACCTGCCCGTCGTCCACAAAACAGCAGGCGCCCGGCGCCTCGCCAATGGGTAATCTTGGCTGTGATAAGTTCAGTTCTGGCTGTTGTCATGACGTTACTGTTCACTTGGCACGCTGTAACGTACACTCAAAGAAGTTGCGACGTTCAAAAACCCAACGCAACTGCACGTGAAGAAACGAGACATCACAAGGCAGTGTCTCTGGATATTGCGTGTCCTGAATTTCCAACCGTAGCATCCTTATCTCGCCCTCTACCGAGCGAAATACAACACATTCTGGACAAGCTTGATTCTTATTTAAGCGCAATCATCGATGAAAACTCATCTCTACCAGCTATTTCAGCAAACGTTTTTCATCATGATTCTGTGATGTGGAGCGGTCATTACGGAAGCAAAACCCACAACAAGTCACCACACAAGAGACCTGACGGCGACACGGTGTACCGCATCGGAAGCATCACCAAGATATTTTCAGTCCTTTTGATCTATAAGTTGTTCGAGTCTGGTGTGATCGACTCAGTGGATGATTCTTTAAGCAAGTACGTGCCTGAGTTCGATGTCAAAAATCCTTTTACAGACGAAAACATTACACTGAGGCAAATTGCCAGCCAGATGTCAGGGCTTCCGCGAGAAGCTCCTTGTATGTACCACTGCACTCAGACCAATTCCACCGAGCAGCTGAAGTTACTGAGAAATAGATATCTTGTAATAGAGCCTTGGACAACGCCCTCTTACAGCAATCTCGGCTACGCTCTGCTGGGAAGGCTGTTAACTGAAAATCTGCTCAATAAAACTTTTGAATGCTGGGCGAAGGAAGAAATTCTCGATCCCTTAGGAATGTTCAATACTGGCTTCGAAATCACTAACGATGTAGAAAAGAACATAGCCTTTCCATACCTAGGAAAGGACCAGAAGAAAGTTTCAAAGACACCTTTTTCGAGATTGGGCTGGCTAGCTCCCGCTGGCGAGATGTATTCCACGGTAAACGACTTGGCGAAACTGGGTATGATGTTTACTCGACCATGGGCACAAAAGATTCTCAAGGTCTCGACTATCCGTGAAATGTTACTTCCAGCTGACATCGCACCCGACGGGCGTACAGTTTGGGGATCCCCGTTCGAGATGTTGTACATCGGGGGGTTTGTTGTGCGAGGCAAGGGTGGAAACATCGACACATACGAAGCTTTCTTTACTTTTGAACCGAGACTACAACTGGGAATAAACGTGTTAATCAGCGCCAGAGACTTTATGAAACCCCAGGGTTTAACAGCCATGGCCATTGCTGCTAAAGCCCACGATCTTTTGCTACCAGCCATAAACAACACCCTGTTCGCCATGCAGATTGCTGCATCTTTTCCCATTGACCCCAGCCCATTCATCGGGTATTTCATTCTCAGGCACACCCTCCCGATAACACTAGAGACATTCCACGCCATAGCGCAAATCAGCGTATTTGAAAATTTCCTCCGTCTTCAGTATGTGCAACCTTTGTCATTGTTTATCAGGATCAGACATATCGGGTTCCCTTTGACGTTTCAAGCTTCTTATCATCACGAAGGCATTTCTTGCTGGGATAAGAGAAGCGGGATATTAGCGGATGTGCACTTTGATGCTCCGAGTCAAAACGGGCTGTCACAGTTTTTCGACGCTCCTGGCTGGAGTATTGTTGGCAAACGAGTAGCATTCGACCCCAATTACCAACCCCGTGTTCTTGAAACTGAGAAGGGACTTATCAAATCGTTCTTCCAACATTCCTACTTTCGCCAGCCGTTTTAATCCCGCCCTATTCCGTGGTCGCAATATTTGATAGCAGTATTCGCCATGAGCCAAATACACCAGTGCCGGCAGTCTCTGATAAGTGTTCAGGTGCCGCCTCCAAAGAGTCTAGAAAGAGTCTGTGTGGAGTGGGATTAGTAAGAACTTCTTTCTTCTTTCACATGGAGTTTCGGGTTCGTGAGGCACACAAACTTCGCTCACAGACATTTGAGTCCACTTCCAGCTGCACTTTTTGGAAAGAACACAGTATAGAAAGTGTAGGGCTTTGCATTTTAGGTCAGAGTGCATTTAGTTGAACACAAGAAAAGATTCGAAAACAAAGATGATAAAAAAAAAAAAGCCGTTAAGAAGCCAAACAAAAAAACAAACAAACAAACAAACCAGACGAACGTACGGACAATGCATTGTCATCGGAAATTAAATTTATTTCCTTATTATTGTTTTGTTTTACTGGGATAATGTTATCGTCATCATGGTGACAAGAACACCTCGTAAATACATGTATGAATAAGTGTCAGTTAATTTCTCTGATGAAGAGATGATTTCAGAAGATAAAGATGAACCATACATGCAAGATGAAACTTTGGTCATCTGAAAACGTTGATATCAGCAGCTTGCTCTTGTTGTTTTGCTCCAAATAGAGAACAAAACAATTCATTCCTGTAAAAGGTAAAGAGAGAAACAAACTTGTTCAAATGACTCTACCAACAGAAGCCCGTGTGCACAATGTACATAAAAGTTAATGTATGCAGTTGTAAAGCAATAGCAGCAGTTGTAAAGCAGCAGTTTTAAAGCGCAAAAACTCAATTACAAAACGTGTGTAAGAAAATGTACGAGGAAATAAAGCATAAGGTTTACATTTAAAAAATTTCTCATAAATACTCGTTCTCTAAGTGTAAGGAAAAATAAAAAAATGCGGTACAAACCTCGAGGAATCCGCCAAGGTTCCTCTCTCGATTGGTGCCATGAAGCTGACAAGCTTGCCATGAATATCATACCTATCAGGGAGCATGCGCAAGGTGAATTTCTATGTCAACGATAACTTTCATTCCAAAAATCTTTCATACCCGTTACCTTTACTTGTAACAAAACTACAGAGCATAATTTTCTAATTGTGCCTCTTAAGTTAAATTTGGAAGGCGCAGAGACCAGTTGAAGAGGCGGGCGCTTTATCACTTGCACGAGACAAATTGCTTTCACAGTGAATTTTATTACCAAGGAGTAAAAATAAGGCCCATGGAAATTGCAAGGAAAACTACCGGGAAATCAGCAAGCAGCAATCATTGCAGTCTATTTGTAGTTGCTGTGATCCCTTGACAAGAACTAGATGCATCACTGTATAGGGGTCAACTCACCGAATTTTTCGGCCTTTGCTAGCCTTCGTGTCGACTTTCCGTTTCACTTTTCGTCTAAGTTTTTGAAGTTCAAGCCATTGTCTAAAACGGGAGAGCACTGTAATTATTCAAAAATAAAAAATTAAGGTTCGGAACAGAGAATTACTTCATATTATCCTGCTATGGGTACAACCAGTTTTTAATAATAGTAGTATTGAGACCAGTAATTTTTAGCGTTTTTTAAATTTCATTTAATAAATAGGTCTAGATAGCAGGTAGGTATTTTGAACGAGCTTCTAGCTGATGGATGTTACGTGTCTAAATAAATGATTCTTGTATTGACTGATTGATTGATTGATTGCTGTAATTCTGATAGTGAACACGTCTGATTTCATCATGTATTTTCCAGACAAAAGTTTTGACAAATTACTTATCAACATAACATCGTAAAAGTTTCGTTTTCAAAAAAGGCAGATCTGTCTAAGCTTAGCCGAAGTTTATGTTTCTAGGACGGGTATAAACATTCAGAATGTTTAAGTACATGTAACCAATGATATGTTGAAAAATGGACCAAGGCTTTTTACCCAGTTCCAATGAAGTAAGTAGAGGTAACTTTACCTTCCCATGTCAATTGGATTATCAGTGTTCCCACTTGTACGCTGCTCTATAAACTCGCGTAGAAGCTATTAAAAGCGCCAAAAATTAGTCAGACTTAAATTAACTAATAACTTCTATCCCTGGCATGTGCTTCATGCACATGTTTTTGCAGTTTACAAGGGGGAGTTGAAGAACTAAGTAAAAATTACATTGTAATGTCTGAAGCTAAGACAGCATGAAGGGTAAGACAGTTAATCCCTGCGGTAGGCCTTATTAATCTCTCTCAAGTTACTTTTAGATATGATCATAGTATCCAGCTCTCCCACAGGAAAACCTTACCATGCCCGTTGAGTATACATGTAGGAGTTTTCTTGGAGGCTAAAAGCGCGTGTGAAGCTACTTAGGCTGTCCACGCGTGTGAAAGTCAAATGATAGGACTACATGCGGAGTCGCCTTGGCTGTCTGAAGTCAGGAGTGAAAATGAGGTTTGCACAGGGGACTAAAATTCCACCCATCATTCTCCCATGCTGTAGACTTTCTAGAGTGGAAGAGTGTAGTGACAAATCTAGGGGAGAGCCCCCCGTTACTTTGGGTAAAAAAAGAAAAAACAAAAAAGAAGGAAGGAAGAAAAGCTGGCAAGGCAAGCAAACCCCCTCTCCCCCCCCTCCCCCCCCTTAGCTCAAGATCTAAATCCATCACTGGAGTGGAAGAAATGAACCTGGGACCTTCAGGTTACAAAGCCTGCAAAACAGGCGGATTAGCGCGGCAGAGAGCGAAACGCTAGGGCGAAACGCGACACACCAGCGCGGAGGGCGACCACGAGCGCCAAGCGCGAGACGAAACAAATCTTTGTTTTTTTCGTCTCGCGCTTCGCGCTCGTGGTCGCGCTCCGCGTTCGTGTATCGCGTCTCGCTCACTGCTCCGCTAATCCGCCTGTTCTGCAGGCTACAGGTTACAAGACTGATGTCATCCATTACTTACAATGTACCTATCCTAATGCTTGCACTAAAGTAGAAGAGGACCAATCTAACGCTAATGAGGCCAAGATAGATCAAGATGCACAACTAGAATAGTTTAGACTAAGGACAAGTGAGAGGATTATGAGTAAATACTCTGATTTCAGTCAGCATTTAGGATACCTTTATGAAACAGGACAGTTTATGTATGTGAAGATGCACAGGTACTATATACGGGATGAATCAATTGTTTATTACCTGGTGATAAAAGTCATCGTCATCAAATATCTCTGAGTCGTAGTCTTTCAAATGCAGATCAGTTTGCTCCTAAAAAAAAAATTGAATTTTTATCCACTCTTAAATAAGCAAAATTAAACTTTACCATACACTGTAATTACCAATGGATTTCATACATGTACATGGAAGCAGTCAGAGTAATCAGCCAGTTATCACGATAACCTATTTACTCTCCTAGATAACCTGCCATGAGGCATATACATGTATATATATATATTTTAATTTTAATTGATTTTTTTGAAAGGAGGGTATGATTGCAGGTCCTCTAAAAATAATTGTGATCAACTAGCTATAGATTTTTTGAGTTTAACTGTTTATACCTCTTTTGACTCTGTGTTTTGTTCATCATCTTCCGACTTGCCAAGGACTCTGTATGGAGTTCTCTTGAGTTGAGTTCGTTTAATAAGACGAGCTTTGTCAGATAAGATCTGAATTGGACCGAAAAACAACAATAATAAAATGTATAGTCACTAAATAAATTAATAAATTAATTACTTAATTTAAAAACCCCACAAGACTACATGATATAAAGTTGAAGTCTGAAGGAGCTTCCTGAAGTGAAGGTCACACTGTTTAAGGTCACACCAACATATACACGTACATGTGGCAACAAAGGTTTGATTAATGGAAGTTAATATATGAAAGAACATTATGAACTATGTATCTGAACTGTGAAGAAAGGTGTGAAGACATGAATGATGATCTTACCAAAGTTATAAAGTTTAACACAACTTAAACAGCTGTGAAATTAAAGCCTAAAAAAAATTCAGACTTGAACGGGATTCAAACCCATGACCTCTGCAATACCGGTGCAGTGATATACCCACTAAGCTATCAAGCCAACTGGGAGCTGGTCACATTGTGAGTTCCTAATTTATCTGCAGAAGTGAATATATGGAACATTATACTTCACTAAAGATCTAAATCCGAGACGCCATTTAAGTAGTCAAGTTACGTACATGATTTATCTGTGCCAAAGCTAAGCGGTCAAAGGAACTGAAAGACTGGCAAGAAAAAAAAAAGAATAATTATTAGCAAAATATGAATATATTGATATTTACAAGAGATACATATACTGTAAGAAATATTAAAAGTAATTACAATTGTGTGTACAGTGTATGTTATTGTTTGTAGTAAACAGTGGTTACTGTAATTAAAATACATTATTAATACTAGTTAACTACATTTTATTCAATAATATGTAACTATATGTATTTTTCCAGCAGCTTTAACCATGCCTAACAAATTGTAATCAAGCTATCTACATGGTACATACAGTCAGTCAGTCAGTCACTCATCCTCATCGGGCCCATGAGGACTCTTGAGGCTGGATGGTACATACAGTGGCATCAGTTTAACTACAGTACCATGTATCAGTTGTTACCTTGCTGTTTAGCTTTCCTGATGCCAATCTAGTTTTCTCACTCCATTTTGATATTGTTGCATCTCTGTAACTCTTGAAGGCAGCATGTCGTTTAGAAATATATTCTGCATATTCTGAGGTGGCCTGCAGTGGAGGTGGTTAAAGTCAATGATCAGAAACAATTTCAGGGTTTGAAATCTTAGTCGCTTAGTAGACTAGTCAACAAGGTTTAAAATCTTGTAGCTGAATGCTTAAATCACCCCCTGTTGTAAAAGCCCCCCTTAACATCACAATTGTAATACCAATTTACCTTCAACCAATAATATCTACATGTACGTATACCTTTTATAATTTTAATTTCAGGCACACAGCTGATTTAATTTTTTTTGTATTAAATGGTGGAAAAGGGGTGGGGTGCTGTGTTTTAACTGGGGATAGATCCTGATGTTGAATGCGTGTGTACCTTGTCCATGATGGATCATTTGGAACTGTAATTTTTTACAGTGAGCACATACACATGTCAAATCCCGCAATTTCGAACTCTCAGGGGAAACATAAAATAGTCTGAAATAGTGGGAGTTTGAAATAGCTGACATTACATGTATAATATAGATAGGACCCTGCACATGCTCTGATTGGTCAAAAACGCATATTTTATCAGAATATAAAACATAGAAAAAGTGTGTTTTATTGTTTTTCCCCACATTACCTCTATATCATAAAGCAAACACTCCCCTGCGGCACGTGTTTTCTACATTTCCCTCATGTTCTCAAATGCCCGTTGTGTTTTATCACGGTGTAATACACGGCTTAGGCTTCTTTATTTGTTAAGTAAATGACCAAAGAGCAAATTCGAGGGAAATGGTTATGAATTCGAAATGACAGGATAGCCAACTCAGTTCAAATTAGTGGGCCCAATTTTAAATGCAATATTTAATTGATTCATTATTTTATCTGCTGGATGAATAAATAAATACATGTACCTCTTACTACCAGAGTTTGAGGTCCGTACTGTACATGTATGTAAACTTGTACAGAATCAAGTGCAAAGCCCAAAGTGCACGGGCCATAAATCAAAGGAGGAAAATACTAGGATCCATAAGGTACAGTACGGGCCGACTGAGAAAACAAAGTTAGTTCTTGACATATTTATTATCTCTCCTGTGTGTCTGATGGGTTCAGGAACAATTTCTATTAATGACATGGAAGGACTTCAAATTTCTGACACACTTCCAAAGCAAAATGAGTCAACTTAAAATCGCTGTTAAGTCGCTAGCATGTTTTAAATACACACTTAAAGTCAAGGAAAATTTTCACCTTTTACTTGCTATAAAATTTAAAACACTTGGCAATAAATCACGAAATAATTTGGCAACAAAAGCAGCTTTAAATATTAACGAGCCATACAGTAGTGGCTGAGCTGCTAAATTGACAAATTACAGTGCATGTAGTAACTGTATAATAATGAAATCAACCCAGCAACTCACCAATTCATGTTTTCTCTTGGCAGGGAGCTTTAGACTACCCTCAGCTTGGTCGGGTTTAACTTCTGCATTCTCAGCACCATCACCAAGATCATCATCACTTTTCTCATCTTCTGTATCACTGGGTATTTCTTCGTCCTCATCACTGCAATAAGCAGTACTTTTGCTTGATTCTACCCCTGGGTGTAAGATGTTCCTAGTATCAGGATTCTGTTCTAGCAGTTTCTCTTGAATCCACAACAGGTTCCCAAGCAGTTTAGCCACTGTTTTTCTTCCTAGAATATTGATGCACACAGACATTTATCAGCTGCAATAGTTACTCACAATGTAGATGTACATGTATGTAGAGTGCACTTGACTGTAAATACATGCAGTAAGAACTAATTATGCATGATTATTGTCCAAATATTAAACTCGGATTATCTCAGTCTGTACAAAAGTACTGTGACTGAAATTGTGATGATGTCACACTTTCTTACAGGCAATATTTGGTAAATGAAAAGTTTGTAAATTTAACGACATTATATATACAGTCAACTACTGTGCAAAGAAAAGTGCTTTAAGATGTGAATTAATAATAAACTATTATTAAGTCCTCAATGGCAAAATTGAACATTGTTTCGATTCTACTTAGCAAGCCTGATAAAGCTTTCTCTAAAAGGTTACATGATTTATTGCATGTTGAAGTTATTCAAGTTAGAATATTGGTATACACAAGCTACAAATACCTGTTTACTGTTATTAATTACATGTGTAGTACATTGTACCTTGTTTGTATGACTCTCTCAAGTTCTTGTCGCCTGAAGAATTAAATGATGCAAGTTGGTCTTTCTGTGGTAGCCTGTTGGCAATCAAAAGGGCCTTTTGTAATCGAATACGCATCTCAAGGAAGCTATCCCACAAGCCTAAAATATTACAAGAGTTTGTCAGTATTACAAGAATGCATTACATGTATTAAAGTAAATACTACTTATATATAGTGGTATGATCCCTTAGAAGAAAGCACTACCATTATACATGTACATGTACATGTCTTCCTTACTTTACTGTGCATGCAACAAAATTTTACACAAATTCTGGCACACTCCCTCGGTTTGGACGGTACTGTACATGATTATATAGTCAGGTAACAGTTTACTTGATTTTGTGATCAATGACTTTTTATTTAATCAGGAACTTACTGAGTTGGTTCTTGGCAGCTTTCCCTTTCTCCAGATCTTCTTTTAAACTTGTAG